AATTTAGCCAGGTAATTATTTGCTAAAATTGGCAACAAACACGATCCCAAGAGTAAAATTCATGTTTGTTTGTACTATTTCGATTAGACATATATATTGCATCGCCAAATTTGCCAATAGCACTACTGACTGCTTAACTCTGTGCTTCTTAAAACCTCTGAATGATGTAGAGCCTGTATGGCATAATCCACAGGAATGTTAATAAGCATCAGCTCAACATTAACGAGAAATTCTCAACTTTCTACCTCATGCTTGCCGACTAAGTTAACGAATTGATAAGAATTTGTAACTGAAATCCGACACGTCTCTGAAATTTTTTCTTTAATTGATGACTAATAAATCACGATACTCTATGCATCACGTAAGCCTTATTATTTCCGATAGTCCCTTCCTTAAGTAGTTTGATCAGACCATATGCATTCAGAGACCTGGCATCTCGTTGAAGACATGTTCATCTTATCCACTTTTCCAGTTCCCCGTTTGTCAAGCTATGTTGCAGGAAACATTGGTATCCTGCTCTGACGATGTCAGTCGCACGACGGACAAAAGGTCAGTAAAGATAAATCCGAGTTGTAGGACGACGAGTCGAGGACTTGTTTGCACAAATCTACAGTCACAGCTACAAGAAAACCCCCTTTCAACCGCTTGACACCAATTTACGAATCCCTTCCACTCGCCTCTTCAAGCGAAATGAAGGGTCCTCCAGCATCTATGTATTAAAGGATTCTTCGAAAGCCAACTTTTCTACATATCTATACAAAGCAAATATTTGCAGAAAGGAAGAAATGAACCACAAGAAGAAGGATCATTTAGCCTTTTTGTCCTTTCTTCTAATTAATAAAAATACTTCGGATAAAATATTTGGAAGATATATAATCCCTTTGAGCTGGTATATGGAGAGTTAGCGGAACTATTTTAAAAAGATGAATCACTCTAATTAAGAATGTTATGTATAGAAAAAAGCATAAGCTGAGAACCGAAGTGAGAGATGTGCGATAAAAAATGAGTCTAAAACAGAATATAGAGGAGTATATAGGACAATATATACCTCGGATAAAGTAAACTCTTCATTGTGACGTGAAAGACTGAAAAGTTAAGATGTACACGTCAGTTGATGCCTCAACAAATGCATAAAAGCTACTATAAAATGTGTACAGTCAGTCAAATAGACGACCAAGTAAATCATCAACACTCGGATTTGCAAATGTACATAAAATCCTTGCAAAGCGCAGTTAAAGGTAAGCCTTGATTATATTTCATTCAAGCAGGAGGTTCGTCCGGAGGTCCAGGCTCTAAAAGAGGAGCAACGAATCCAGTTAGTCGACGCTGACGCCAATGCTGTCTCCGATGCCGACGTCTTTGCCTGCGGAGATCTTTCGAATCCCGTTCCTCAGTGCCCAATTTGCATGACAGAAAGGAAGAAGATGGGAAGCCAGAGGACCAGATAAAAAGGGCAAATTGTGGCACTGCGAGGCCGAGAGCTGCCTGTGTGAATCGAAAGTGAGCGTCACAAATATCACAGGCAATGAGTCGCGCCAAGGGAGCAGAATCGACGAGTAATTCGTACTGCTTGTGTCCGTCGTCAGCAAGAAAAACAATGCAAGCAACAGTTGGAGACTGGTCAGTAGGAGGATTGGTGCTTTCAAGGCTGAGATCCAAAGTTGATGCTCCCCTGGAGTGGGCTGAGGATCTATGAGTAGAAGTAGCGGCTGTAGAGGGATGTTCTTGGGCAGATGACGAAGGGCCAGCTTTAGATCCGAAAGCTGCAATGCCGCCAACCGAAGTTGCTGCCAAGGAAGAGGGTAATTTGCTAGTCTTAGCACTGCTCTGATAGACGCGTACTTGGTCAAGACGATGCATCGGGAGGACGGAGACAACCTCCATTTGATGTGTCAGGTAGACAGTCAATGCATCGCCAGTGAATGGCAAGGAGCCGAGTGCCGAAGGGATCCACTAGAGGAATATACAGAAACAGAATGAATGAAATAGATAGACAAGGAGCCAATTATAAAAGTTTAATAGTGAGGCTTCAGAAATTGTTGTATTGAATCATTAAATTATATTGAACATTGTTTGATCTTGTTTTCGCAACATGGTCATATTGGTAGGAAGACTTAGAGGAACGCACCTAGTCCGGAG